AGCCTCGGAGGCCTCAGGAGTGGGCCTGGGCCAAGATATTATACCTCCAAGTTGTGTCATATGCCTTCTCAAGGTCAAAAGAGATAGCGATAACTGAATGGTTCTTGGCAAAGGCATTATGGACATATATATCTAAGAGTAGTAAGGGGTCAATGGTAGAATGGCCCTTGCAAAAGTCATACTGACTAGTGGAGAGACTGTTGTGTCTCTAAATACCACATCAAACTTCTATTTACCAGACGTTCCATCACCTTGCAAACTGCACTGGTAAAAGCAATGAGACGATAGTGGGAGGCATCATGTCCCATAGTACCCGGTTTGCAGAAAGGGAGAACAATGGCAGATTTCCACAGCTGGGAAGAACTCCTTGTGACCAAATAAGATTAAAGAGTCGTAAGAGGACTGAAAGGGCTGACTGATGTAAATGCTGTAGCATCCGAACATGAATGCTGTCAGGCCCAGCTGCCGATGATCGGCAAGCTGAGAGTGTGGCCTCCAGCTCCAGAAGTGTAAAAGGCACATTATAAGATTTTTCTCCGACAGAAGAAAAGTTTAAGAGCTCTAACTCTCTGGCAGACTTTGAGGAACGAAACGAGGGGCATAGATGAAGCCTCTGAGAGATATCAACAAGATGATTACCAATTTCGGTGGCAACGTCCAGAGGGTTTGCGATATCAACACCAGCAACCCAAACAACAGGAGCCGGGTCGGTAGAGTATTTACCACTGAGTTTTCGTACTTTTTTTCCAGACTGCACTCACAGAGGAAGCAGAGGTGATGGTGAAATCATAATTTTGCCAGCAAGTGCATTTAGCATCATGGATGATACGACGAGTGACCACTCACGTCTGCTTAAAATCAATGAGTCTCTCTGTGGTTCTATTGTACTCATACCTGGTACGAGGTTTGGGGTATAGAATGAGAAGCTGCGGTTAAAACTGAGGAGAAGAAGTGTAAAAACTCATCAATGGAGGATGAAGAAAGAACCTCACTAAATGCGAGTAAAGGTCCCAATTTGCTCGGTCAAATTGCCAGCGTGGGCTACGAGGAAGTAGTGAATATGAAGGAGAAGTAAGAATGATTGGAAAATGATCACTGTCATGTAAGTTGGGGAGGACAGACCAGGTGAGATCTAGTGCAGTGGAAGAAGAGCAAATGGAGAGATCGATGAAAGAGAGAGAATGAGTATGAGGATCAAAATGGGAGAACCTGTATTTAAAACATGGAGGGGGAGAGAAGCGAGAAAAGCCTCCAACTGAATGCCACGGGAGTCATTGTGAGACCTCTCCCAGAGGAAATGGTGGGCATTAAAATCGCCAAATAACAGAAGTGGTGGCGGTAGGTATGAAACCAGAAATGCAACATCTGGGATAGATAAGGCCTGAGAAGGAGAGAGATACAAAGAACAGACTGTATACCACTTCTTCAAGTGGATACAGGCTGCAGTGTAATGCAGCAAAGTATGAACAAAGAGCTGACGGTATGGAATACTGGTGCATATAAGTGCACTTTCATTAAAGGTTCCATTGGGAGAAGGAACCAATGAATATAATAAATCATAGCCCAAGATGAGATGAAGACCAGCGGAGCATAATTTGGATTCTTGTAAACAAACACAAACAAGGAAAAACTGGGAGAGCAACACCTGGAGTTCACCCCAGTTATCTCTGAGACTGCATATATTCCACTGTAAATAGGCAATGATTTGCAAAGAGAACGATACAAGAAAGCTGAAGGTGGTGGTATCTACAGACTAGTAGGGTTAGAAAAGTCCACATGTGGGGGTAGTGGAAGAGTATTAAGCAGCAAAGGATTGGGATGCTGTAAAGAAAAGAGTTGCTCAGATGGAGAATAGTGAAGAGGAGGAACAGGAGGTGGATCGGTGTCCATCAATGGTATAGTCTCCTCAATATATTCTGAGATAGCTTTAAGTGTTTCTGAGGACAAGGACATTGTATGTGGTACAATAATGGAGATGGAAGAAGGAGGGTGAGTAAAGATAGGGGAGATGATGGACTGTACCAAAGTAGGGGGGCACGGAAGGGTAGAGGGAACTAGAGAAAAAGCTTGGGAGAGGATATTTGGAGAGGAAGCGACCTGGGAGGGGGCAGAAGAGGAAGAAATTTGGGAGGGGACAGGGAAAGAAGGTACTATACGAGGAGTATGAACCTCCACACTCGTAACAGAGCCAATTAGAGGTGAAGAACCAGGTACAGAGACTAGGAAGGAAAAATGAGCAGGTTGCAAAAGGGAAGGAGGGGTGAAAGGAGATTTTTAACAATGGGGATGTTTTGGACTTCGGAGAAGGAGAGGGGAGATGGGGAGTGTTGTAAGAGGTCTTGTAGACACAGAAACTTGTGAGTGAGAAGAGGAAGAGGTGAGAACAGAATGAGGTGCCGAGGTATGGACCTCAGAGTCCAGAACAGTAAAAGAATTAGAGACAGGGGTGATTGTGGAAGGGGTGACCACAGAGGAGGCTGCAGAAGTTGGGACCCTGGAGAAGGGGGGGACGTTTAGTAACTCAAGAATAAAAAATATGAGGAAGTTTCCCTTAAAGGCATAGATGAGAGACTGCCATAGCATATGGGAGGCCTTCTGCCTCTTTGAGACATCGGATTTCACGCTCATTTAAGTAAACTTGGCAATAGCGAGAGTAAGATGGGTGAGCCTCCTGACAATTAAGACAAGAAGGAGGTAGACTACAAGATGTATTGGTATGGCTATCGGCACCACAGACTGGGCATTCAGCGACGGACCTACAATATTTTGCTGGATGACCAAAATGCCAGCAATTTCTACACAGTTGCAGTGTAGGGATCACCTTTTGAACTTGTAAATGATGTCCCTCTATATATACAGAGGATGGAAGCTCACGGCAGTCAAAAGTTAAGCATGCTACATTGCATGGGTATTGTCTCCACCTGTGGGCAGGGAGGACATAAGTGTCTACTTTGAGGATTGGGAGGTCTTTGAGTTCTAGCTATTCCAGAATGTCATTGCCACGTGTCTGGAAATTCTGTTGGACAATCGTATGGGGCAGAATGACAATACCACTACAAGAATTGGGGGAATGATGGTTTTTCAATAGTTACAGTATGGATAGTTGTAAGGAGAGAAAGATCGTGAGCTTGGTTAGCTTTCTGGACAGTTATGATGCATGTGATGCTACTGAGAGCATGAACGGATATATCTCTACCAACATTGTGTAGGAGCGCCTTGTCAATACTGCGGTCGGAAAGATAGGCAGTAGAGGAAGTCGGTCATAGTGTAAAAGACTTAGTCCATTGCATATTTCGAAACATAGTGTGTAAAGGGAGTGCATGGCGTGCCGGTCTTTTCTGAGTAGAATGAGAAGGAAGCAAAGAAGTATCATCAGGTAATGGTGTTGGGCGTTTAGGTGTGGGACCGGAGTTGGTCCAGTGTGGGATGGGCGGGCAATCTGAAAATCGCCGGACCATAGAGGGAGAAGCAGGAAGCATAGTTAAAGAAGAGTGGAGGTCAGACGTATCAAAGGAGTCACTCAAAATCCTGGTACCTGGAGCAGGTGTTGAAATGGCACCAGCAGGAGGTATAGGGGCATTAGAAATGTCCAAAGAGTGGTCAAATAATGAGGCAGGGGTCAGAACAGGGTGCGGTATCAGGAAGGAGCCCGGGGTGAGCAGGTTCATGGATTGGGAACTCCATGGTTAGATCACTCCTTTTCTTTTTGTTTTATAGAAAAAAAGAAAGAAAACAAAACAAAGAATAAAAAAAAGTGGGGAACGTGGAGGAATAGTTCCTAGAAGGAATGAAAGGGCTATAAATCTCCCTCTGCACCCAAGAAGACCTCAGCACCGCAAGTAGTGCAGATGCAGCATGGAAAGTGTGTCATACCCTACCCTTCATGCCAGTTAACCAGCAATCCCGGATAGCAACCTCACATCCGCTGAGCCACGTTGGCAGACAAAAGAGAGGGCGGCCGGACACCTGCCACAAAGCATACCTCCTTTGGCCACCAACCCCCAAAATACAAAAGGTAGCCTCCACAGATACACCTGTCACCGGAGTGACGGGTGTGAAAGAACCCCAAAGGCTGAAAAGAGGAAGGGACTAAGGGAGGGATGGGGAGGAGGAGGAGGAAAGGAAAAAAGGGGGAATGGGGAGGATGGGATAGGGAGTGGGGGATTCGGGGGTAATTAGTTTCGGTCTGAGGAAGGAGACCAAAAGGTCTAATTTCTCAGACCAAGAGCCTTTTCACCGTTCCAAGGAGCCCCCTTTGAAGAGGTCACCTATCAGTATAATAGGCACCTGAGTGTTAGTCGACTGGTGTGGGTTGCATCCTGGGGACAAAACTGACTTAATTTGCCCTAAATGCTCAGCATAACAAGGGACTTTCTATCTAGTAGTATGTTAATGTTGTCAGCTAGGCCTGTATACCTTGTATATGTACTTGTAGAAATAAAGATTATTATTATTATTATTATTATTATTATTATTATTATTATTATTATTATTATTATTATTATTATTAATTCAGATTTAGAAAGTATATATGGATCGTGCGATCACTACTGACCATCAGTATAATGGTAATTTACTAAATTTGACTCTTCATGGAGAGGCTCTTTGATGCCAGTGAGAAGGTTCTTGATCCAAGGAAATGAACCTCATTTCTACTTCCTTGGACTGAACCAGATTATCTCCCATTAAACCAGGCGCTCCGCACCGCTTTGATAATAATAATAATAATAATAATAATAATAATAATAATAATAATAATTTTAATGATGATAATTTAAATAATAATAATAGCTGGACTGTAGTCATTAAAAATACGAATGTAAGAGGTGTAATATAACTGAGAAATAGCCCGTCTCATTCTTATTTTGCCAGCTAAGATTATGTGACTAAAAGGTGACTTTGGCTTAGCAATACTTGCCATTTTCTGGCAAAATTCTCATAAGTGTTGTCAAACGACTGCAACAAATATAGTGATCATTTAAGTGTTTGGCTAATTTTACCTGTATGTGTGTCGTTCCAAACTCTAATTTTGTATTAGATGCTGAGAACCGGAAGTTTCCCGTGTATCTGAAAATTAATGTAATTATTTAAAATTTGAGCGCCTGCGAATGAGTTACATTCTAAACTAAAAATTGTTTGCATTTTGTAAGCCAGTGTTGCACTGAGCAGTAATCTTTGAAAAGTAATTCCAGGAAGAAATATATGAAATATAGAGTAGAAACATATTGTTTGCTTACCTATTTGTGGTTGTGGGGGTCGAATCATAGCTCATGGCCCGGCCTCTTTGCTGGTCGCTACTATGCCCATTCTCTCCCTGCTTCAAGAGCCTTAACGTACCTCATCTTAAAGATATGGATGGATCCTGCTCCACTACTTCACTCTCCAGATTGTTCCACTTCCTGACAGCTCCAAGGCTGAAGAAATGCTTCCTAACATCTCTATGATTCATTTGAGTTTTTAACTTCTAGATGTGTCACCTTGTTCATGTGTTCCATCTCTAAAACATTCTGGTTCTCTCCACCTTATCAATTCCTCTCAGTAATTTGTATGTCGTTATCATGTCCTCCCTATCCCTCCAGTCCTCCAGTGTAGTCAGGTTGAGTTCCCTTAATCTCTCCTCCTAAGAGATGCACTTCTGCTCCGGGATTAGTCTTGTTGCATACCTTTGCATTTTCTTTAATTTCTCGACATGTTTGACCAGGTGTCGGTTTTATACCGGTGCTGCATACGCCAATATGGGCCTGACGTACATGTGGTGAATGACCCCTTACTGAGATGTCAAAACCCTATTCTTAGGTTTGCCAGACACCCATATGCTGCAGCAATTATTTGGTTGATGTGTGCCTTAGGAGATGTGCTCGGTATGATGCTCACCCCAAGATCCTTTTCCTTGAGTGAGTTTTGCATCCTTTGACCTCTTAGGCTGTACTCCGTCTGCGCTCTTCTTTGTCCTTCCTCAACTTCATAACTTTGCACTTTCTGGGGTTAAACTCCAGGAGACACTTGACGGACCAGGCATGCAGCTTGTCCAGATTTCCTTGTAGACTTACCTGGTCCTCGTCCGCTTGTATTCTCATCATTAGCTTTACATCGTCTGCGAACAGGGACAGTCTGTGTGTGTGTGTGTGTTTGTGTTTGTGTGTGTACTCACCTATTTGTACTCACCTATTTGTGGTTGCAGGGGTCGAGACAGCTCCTGGCCCCACCTCTCCACTGATCGCTGCTAGGTCCTCTCTCTCTCTGCTCCATGAGCTTTATCATACTTCGTCTTAAAACTATGTATGGTTCCTGCCTCCACTACATCCCTTGCCTGACTATTCCACTTCCTGACAACTCTATGACTAAAGAAGTACTTTCTAACATCTCTGACTCATCTGAGTCTTCAGCTTCCAATTATGACCCCTTGTTTCTGTGTCCCATCTCTGGAACATCATGTCTCTGTTCACCTTGTCAATTCCTCGCAGTATTTTGTATGTCGTTATCATGTCTCCCCTAACCCTCCTGTCCTCCAGTGTCGTCAGGCCGACTTCTCTTAACCTGTCTTCGTAGCACATTCCCCTTAGCTCTGGAACTAGCCTTGTTGCAAACCTTTGCACTTTGTGTGTGTGTGTACTCACCTATTTGTACTCACCTATATGTGGTTGCAGGGGTCGAGACTCAGCTCCTGTGTGTGTGTGTTTGTGTGTGTGTGTGTGTGTGTGTGTGTGTGTGTGTGTGTGTGTGTGTGTGTGTGTGTGTGTGTGTGTGTGTGTGTGTGTGTGTGTGTGTTTGCCTGCGTGCGTGCGAGTTGTTTACTTAGCAAAATTGAATATGCTATTGTATATGGTATTTGTGAAGCGGGGAAGACAGACAAAGAGATGAGGGAAAAGAAGGTGAGAGTTAAAACAGAGGGGAAAAAAGAGAGAAGAGCGACACAGAGAGGTGAGGGATAGGGAGACATACAGGCCCAGGCAGAGAATTATGGTCACAACAGCAGTGAACAAACTCCAACACTCACGTAAAATGAACCTCCAGGATGACGTCTTTTGATGGAGTTGTATCATAAACCTTCACACCCAAGATTTCTGGTTCTCCAGACGGCTCTCTCATCGTCTTGAATTTAAATGTGAAGATTTTCCATTTTTTTAGGTAGTCGTTGATTTTAGGTTCAACAACGAGTCTCAAGTGTTTCTCGATGTAAACACTGATTGGTGGCCACAGATGAGTAATAACCTGCAGGGAAAATTTATGTAAGAACACAAGAATGAGAGAACACTGCAGCAGGCCTTTTGGCCCATGCTAGGCAGGTCCATCTTAAACAGCCACACCCACTCACATACAGGAACTGTGACTCGATTCCCGCAACCACAACTAGGTGAGTACAGGTCTAACCTATATTTAAGGTTACCCAAAGATCTCGCCCTAGTGAAGCTAGATGGAAGTTTGTTCCACTTATCTATAACTCTATTGCCAAAGCTGTGCTTCTCTATATCCCTTCTACATCTAAATTTGTTCAACATTAATCCATTCCTATGAGTCTAGTCTTGGTTACATACTTTCATCAAGTTATTTATATCTCGTTAATTATTCTTGTTTTCCATTTCTATACTTCAGTCATATCCCACCTAATTCAATGTCTTGAGCATATCTTCGTAGGAAAGGTTTCTAATACACGGCATTAATTTTGTCATCATTATCCGTATATATTCCAGAGCATTTATGTCCAGTCTGTAATGTGGAGACCAGTGCTGAGCAGTGTGATCTAAATTATGTGTATAATTAAATTAAGTGCTAAACCAGTAAGAGTCATACAGTGCTACAATAATAATGCCTTACCAAAGATTTATAAAGTTGAAGTATAATCTTAGGACTTCTATTATTTATATTTCATGATATGAAGCCAAAAAGTGAACTGCATCTGCCATTTCTCTGACCACAGCATCAATCATACAATTCATCACGTATCTTTCTAGTATCCTCATCAGAAATTATCTGGCGGCTTAAGTCAGTATTATCAATAAACTTACTTACCTTATTTATTCTCCCTCATCTATGTTGTTTATGTAGATTGTGAACAAGACCGTTCTCTTTGTAAACTCTTGTTGAGGTTCATGGATCAAATTATATTTATCAAGCTGGCTTTGAATTGCCTTCACATTAATTCCACCAATTTTTCCAAAATTAAAGGAAGGCTGATTGGCTTTTAATTTGAAACTAAGGACCTATCTCCCACCTTGTAAATAGGTATCACTTTTGCCGTTTTCCGGAATATCCGATTGTAGTGATGTGTTGAAGAGACTAGCTAATGGTTTATTAGGTTCCTCTCTGCATTGATTTAAAACTCTTGAAAACAGCTCGTTGGGACCTGGTGACTTTTTTAGTTTCAATCTATCTAGCTATCTGAAGACCATATGACCAGTGACTCTGCTCTTGCATAATTTATTCGCGTCCTGCCCAGTATAATTATTGATTCCTGGATTTCATTTACGTCTTTTTGTGTAAATCAGAGTTACATCTAAGTGGGCCTACTTTTTTCCTAATTTTATGTCGGTTGGTCTTTGATTACCTCACAACCTTAATTTCATATTCTCTTTTGGGTTTCCATATTCCTTCCTTTGGCTTCTCTCTGAATTTGAGCATATTGGTCATTGGTCTTTTGATCAACCTGTGTATGCCTCTTTTTTCACCTTAGAGATGTATTAGTATATTGTTCATCCATTAAGGATCATTTGTCAGATTCATTTTCTCTGTCAGGAATATGTGCTGCTTGAGCAGATTGTACAATGCTTTGGCCTCCCTCATGATAATCCCTAGTCAGGTTACCTCAGTCAACACTACTCAGGTAATCCCTTAGGCTCATATAATCATAGTTTACATTATGATCTTCTAATAGACTCAGACAATAGAGAACTGTAATTTAAAAATTATCCTCATTCACCTTGGAAAGCCATTCAGGCTTCTCCACATCTGCGGATTTAACCTGAAAATAAAATAAAAAATAATCAGCAATGTTATCTTCATAATTTTACATTAAAATTCTTTTAATAAGACAATCTGCTTATGTGTTGAAAGGGTTAATGCCTTATTTGTACATTTCAGTTTACAGTTCCTGCAAGCAGATAGCAAAATGCAACTAGTTCGTTACCATTAAAACTTGCTAAGGTTTCAGAACTTTGGGGTCCAGTCTCTGGACCCATTATGTGCCTCTATAATCTCAAGACTACCGCCCATACCATGGTTATGGGATACATAATAAAGATATTAAATCAATTTGTCTGTTTCAGTATCAGGTGAAAGATTTTTCCATATATGTACTGTAATGGTTGTGGTTAGACGCACCAGCAAACACTCAAGACCCATTATTGTGTAAACATGTCGGTCTTGGGACCTCGTTCACCCCATGTAGCTACCCAAGTCATATGAAACTGTACAACGATAGCGCAAGAATTAATTAAGTTCGTCTAACTCACCCATCACACAGTATGATTTTCTAATCATAATCCATCACACATGTTCTAAAAGTCATACATTCTGTCAGCCTAAGCTGACCAGGAGGATATCTTCAAGCATTCCAGCAGCTATGGATGCCTTGTAAGTTTCCTTCCAGCACGGTTGGAGTTACTTTTTATGGTAGTTATCATTCAGAGTGGTAGATTAGGTACATGCTTAGGGTAAAGGGTGACTATATCACAGTAAAAAATCCTACAGTCTTGTCACATGCATAAAATGAAGCCTGTTAAGAGTTTTTCACTCTGGCTGGGTTATTGGAGATACTAATCTAATGAATATCTAAGATAAGTAAATATTCTAAACGTTTGTTTTCATTTAGTATTCACTTATAATTGTCTTATTGCTTTTTACTCTAATTCACCGTAAAACGTGTAGTTACTATTAACTAACTGCAGGCACTGCTTCGGTGTGAATTAATAAATTTATCTCTTTTATGGCACCAGATTTTGTACATTTGTATAGTTTTCTGAAGACCCACAATTAGTATCCCAGACCATAAACAACTTTTACAATATAGGCCTACTTTCTCCTGCGCCGTACAAGCCCCTACCCACCCACCCTACCACTTCCACTTTCCATTATCAATATTTGTTACACCACACTGCATGGGTATTATTTACTAAACCAGTTCTCTTACACATTGCCCAAGATATGACTTTCTGTAGGACTGAAGTTTCCACTATTATTCCCTTGGCTATTTTTTTGCCACAGTGACACATAATAGCCGGTGAACACTCAGGTATCTGTTATTACCTCTAAATGAGCAGGAACAATATAGGTTTTAGGGAGTATATCCATGTGTTACCCAGACTCGGGGATCGAACCAGGTGATTTTTACTGTTGTACTTCTAGCTGCTCTTAGAGTTTTGGATACAGCGTTATAACAAAGTAAAATTCCCATTCAAGAAAAGTCTCTACTTACCCAAGAGGAGAATAAAGGCATCGTCATCTTGAAATTCCACAGTAGTTTCTTGAACTCTTGCTTGTCAAGAGAAGCCAGATAAAGCTCTAAATCTTTCTTCGTGTGTTTCTCATGTGCAAACCATATGATGTTTTGAATTTTCTTAGGTGAAACAGCTATGACCATAGCCACTACCACCAGCCCCCACAGCCCACACCACAGCCAAACTTGCCAACCCACTACTAATATACAAAAGTACTGAATAAATAGTGTGAGGTAATGGGTGAAACTTGTATGTGGGAGGTGGAACAACATGTGTGGGGGATATAGCAACGTGTATGGTAGGTGGAACATGATGAACTTTGTCTTGAGAAAGATATATCCTGTTGTGGCTTCACATTGCTCTTTATCCTATAACCGTAACGCTTAACTTGATAAATAACTGTTTATCATGTAGTTATGTATACGATGTTTTAACAATGAATTCTCTTGCTTTTCAAGGTACATCGAGATGTAAACCCCAGGCCGTGAGGTTGTGAAATTTATGATTACGCAGCAGCTAAATAAATGCAAAAACGAAGAATGTGGTTATAAAGAAAGATGAAGGTGGTGAGTTTCTAATCCAGTGTAGCCGCTTATATATGTTATTATTATATTATACATATATATAATACATAAAGAGGAAGCTGTAAGGGATACAACCTTCGTCCATATCTACAATTGTTTACACTGTACTGATAAGAAGGGTGTGGTTTGTGGTGGCTGATATAGCAGCTAACATAAGTATAACTGACAATTTATGCAAATATTATTTAAGTTATATTTTGAAATATGTATTATATTCGTTAAAAACAATAATTATAACTTTACAATATAAAAAATTTAAGATCCTGATCATCCAATGTTACGACTATTCAAAATCCTTGTTATAGGAGCTGAAAACACCAACTCTGTTTAAATAAAAATAAGTAAGTTTATTCATTTCAGATAAATATAGTTATATAAAATTATCATACTAAACAACAAATTGTAGATTATACCATTAGAATACCAAAATCAATCAGAGCTGATACCACTCGGTTTACTATATCAATAGTTATTGTGTTAAATATATATATAATATATATACAATATTAGTATATACATAAATATACCAAATCATAATATTTATTATATATTATCTTTGTAATATATATAATATATATATAAATATTATATATATATATATATATATATATATATATATATGTTTTGTGTGTGTGTGTATGTGTGTGTGTGTGTGTGTGTGTGTGTGTGTGTGTGTGTGTGTGTGTGTGTTGTGTAGAGAAAGAGAGAGAGAAAGAGAGAGTTAGTTTAATATCTTTATTATGCACCACATACCCATCCTGTGGGCGGTAGTCAAAAGATTACAGAGGTACATAATGGGTCCAGGGACTGGGCCTCAAAGTTATGATAGCTGAACTAGTTACAAAGGTAATGAACTTCAGGTAGATCTGGTCACAATAATGGCAAGTTACAGAGGTAATGAATCATCCTCACTCCCATACATGGTTAATTGCAAAGTAATGAACCACTGATACGTCCACACCTGGTCACAATTGTAATGAGTTATAAATACAAATATTAAGTGGGTTATACACCCACACGACTGCGCGCGCGCACACACATGCACGCACGAGGCGCACGCACAGACTCATGCACACGAGCGTACAAACACATACATGCACACACACACACACACACACACACACACACACACACACCACATCTAGGTGGTGGAACACCTAGAAAGGAATGATCTCATCAACAGCAGCCAACATGGTTTCAGGGACGGGAAATCCTGTGTCACAAACCTACTGGAGTTCTATGACATGGTGACAGCAGTAAGACAAGAGAGAGAGGGGTGGGTGGATTGCATTTTCTTGGACTGCAAGAAGGCGTTTGACACAGTTCCACACAAGAGATTAGTGCAAAAACTGGAGGTCCAAGCAGGGATAACAGGGAAGGCACTATAATGGATCAGGGAATACTTGTCAGGAAGACAGCAGCGAGTCATGGTATGTGGCGAGGTGTCAGGGTGGGCACCTTTGACCAGCGGGGTCCCACAGGGGTCAGTCCTAGGACCAGTGCTGTTTCTGGTATTTGTGAACGACATGACAGAAGGAATAGACTCCGAAGTGTCCCTGCTTGCAGATGGCGTGAAGTTGATGAAAAGAATTCATAGGATCGAAGACCAGGCAGAACTACAAAGGGATCTGGACAGGCTGCAGACATGGTCCAGCAATTGACTCCTGGAGTTCAACCCCACCAAGTGCAAAGTCATGAAGATTGGGGAAGGGCAAAGAAGACCGCAGACGGAACACAGTCTAGGGGGCCAGAGACTACAAACCTCGCTCAAGGAAAAAGATCTTGGGGTGAGTATAACACCAGGCACATCTCCTGAAGCGCACATCAACCAAATAACTGCTGCAGCATATGTGCGCCTAGCAAACCTCTGAACAGCATTCCGACATCTTAATAAGGAATCATTCAGGACCCTGTACACCGTGTAAATTAGGCCCATATTGGAGTATGCGGCACCAGTTTGGAACCCACACCTAGCCAAGCACGTAAAGAAACTAGAGAAAGTGCAAAGGTTTGCAACAAGACTAGTCCCAGAGCTAAGAGGTATGTCCTACGAGGAGAGGTTAAGGGAAATCAGCCTGATGACACTGGAGGACAGGAGAGATAGGGGGGACATGATAACGACATACAAAATACGGAGAGGAACTGACAAAGTGGACAAAGACAGGATGTTCCAGAGATGGGACACAGCAACAAGGGGACACAGTTGGAAGTTGAAGACACAGATGAATCACAGGGATGTTAGGAAGTACTTCTTCAGTCACTGAGTAGTCAGGAAGTGGAATAGTTTGGGAAGCGATGTAGTGGAGGCAGGATCCATACATAGCTTTAAGCAGAGGTATGATAAAGCTCACGGTTCAGGAAGAATGACCTAGTAGCGACCAGTGAAGAGGCGGGGCCAGGAGCTTGGACTCGACCCCTGCAACCTCAACTAGGTGAGTACAACTAGGTGAGTACAACTAGGTGAGTACAACTAGGTGAGTACAACTAGGTGAGTACACCCAAAGGTGCAGGGAGGCAAAAACTAAGTGCATTAGAGAATGGAAGAGGTATAGAATGCAAAGGACCCAGGAAAACAAGGAGATCAATCGAAGAGCCAGAAACGAATATGCACCGATAAGGAGGGAGGCCCAGCGACAGTACGAAAATGACATAGCATTGAAAGCCTGTGACCAGGCCTCCTGGTGGATCAGAGCCTGATCAACCAGGCTGTTACTGTTGGCTGCACGCAATCCAACGCACGAGCCACAGCCCGGCTGGTCAGGTACCGACTTCAGGTGCTTGTCCAGTGCCTGCTTGAAGACAGCCAGGGGTCTATTGGTAATCCCCCTTATGTATGCTGGGAGGCAGCTGAACAGTCTTGGGCCCCTGATACTTATTATATTGTCTCTTAACGTGCTAGTGACACCCCTGCTTTTCATTGGGGGATGTTGCATCGTCTGCCGAGTCTTTTGCTATCGTTGTGAGTGATTTTCGTGTGCAAGTTCGGTACTAGTCCCTCTAGGATTTTCCAGGTGTATATAATCATGTACATGTATCTCTCCCGCCTGCATTCCAGGGAGTACAGGTTCAGGAACTTCAAGCGCTCCCAGTAATTGAGGTGTTTTATCTCCATTATGCACGCCGTAAAGGTTTTCTGAACATTTTCTAAGTCAGCAATTTCACCTGCCTTGAAAGGTGCTGTTAGTGTGCAGCAATATTCCAGCCAAGAGAGAACAAGCAACCTGAAGAGTGTCATCATGGGCTTAGTATCTCTAGTTTTGAGGGTTCTCATTATCAATTCTGTCATTTTTCTAGCAGATGCGATTGATACAATGTTATGGTCCTTGAAGGTGAGATCCTCCGACATAATCACACCCAGGCCTTTGACGTTGGTTTTTCGCTCTATTTTGTGGCCGGAATTTGTTTTGTAATCTGATGAAGTTTTAATTTCCTCATGTTTACCATATCAGAGTAATTGAAATTTCTCATCGTTGAACTTCATATTGTTTTCTGCAGCCCACTGAAAGATTTGGTTGATGTCCGCCTGGAGCTTGCAGTGTCTGCAATGGAAGACACTGTCATGCAGATTCAGGTGTCATCTGCAAAGGAAGACACGGTGCTGTGGCTGACATCCTTGTCTATGTCAGCTATGAGGATGAGAAACAAGATGAAAGCGAGTACTGTGCCTTGTGGAACAGAGCTTTTCACCGTAGCCGCCTCAGACTTTACTCTTTGTGTTCTGTTTGTGAGGAAATTATAGATCCATCTACCAACTTTTCCTGTTATTCCTTTAGCACGCATTTTGTGCGCTATTACGCCATGGTCACACTTGTCAAAGGCTTTTGCAAAGTCTGTATATATTACATCTGCATTCTTTTTGTCTTCTAGTGCATCTAGGACCTTGTCGTAGTGATCCAGTAGCTGAGATAGACAGGAGCGACCTGCTCTAAACCCATGTTGCCCTGGGTTGTGTAATTGATGGGTTTCTAGATGGGTGGTGATCTTGCTTCTTAGGACCCTTTCAAAGATATTTATGATATGGGATGTTAGTGCTATCGGTCTGTAGTTCTTTGCTGTTGCTTTACTGCCCCCTTTGTGGAGTAGGGCTATGTCTGTTGTTTTTAGTAACTGTGGGGCCACCCCCGTGTCCATAGGATGGTAAAAGCTCGTGATAGGGGCTTCTTGCAGTTCTTGATGAACACGGAGTTCAATGAGTCTGGCCCTGGGGCAGAGTGCATGGGCATGTCATTTATCACCTGTTCGAAGTCATTTGGTGTCAGGATAATATCAGATAGGCTTGTGTTACCCAAATTCTGTGGCTCTCTCATAAAAAATTTATTTTCATCTTCGACTCTCAGTCTGGTTAGCGGCTTGCTAAAAACTGAGTCATATTGGGACTTGAGTAGCTCACTCATTTCCTTGCTGTCATATGTGTAGGACCCATCTTGTTTAAGTAGGGGCCCAATACACAAATAACCCGCACATAAAAGAGAGAAGCTTACGACGACGTTTCGGTCCGACTTGGACCATTGACAAAGTTCCAGTCACGGTATTGTGCCTTTTTGTTATTTAGGGGCCCAATACTGGATGTTGTTCTCGACTTTGATTTGGCATAAGAAAAGAAATACTTTGGGTTTCTTTCGATTTCATTTATGACTTTTAGTTCTTCCCGCGATTCCTGACTACTATATGATTCCTTTAGCTTAAGTTCGATGTTTGCTATTTCTCTGACCAGTAACTCCCTACGCATTTCAAATATATTGGCCTCTTTTAGCCGCTCTGTTATTCTTTTCCGTCGCCTGCAAAGGGAGCGCTTGTCTCTTTCTATTTTACATCTAGGCTTAAGTTGGGATCTGTGTTGCTTAGTCTATCTTCCCAGCTTATATCGTTTAGGACTTGATTTATTTGGTCCCACTTTATGTTCTTGTTATTGAAGCTGAATTTGGTGAAGGCTCCCTCGTTACTAAGCTCATTTTGTCGGTCTGGGGCTCCGCGCATACTTGTCTGAACCTCAATTATGTTGT